CCCGCAAAAACAATGCACGCGGGGAACACACATGCAGCTACATAAATAGTAGTTGTATGTAGTTGTACTCCCGCAAGCGGCAGTTTGATTGACCCAAAGTAAGATAGATGGCCGTGGCATGCATGTCTTTGGACGCTTTATGAATTGCTTTTGGCGTCCTGTTGGGCCGGCTGCACGGAGAGAGCACGAATCCGAGGTCGCGCCCTGCGTTGCCAAGACCGCCTGGTGTGCCACCTCGTTTGTCACGCAGTGACTCAGCTGACCGTCAGTGCCCGTGATATTGCTGCGTGGGTCGCCAGATTGTGGAATTTTGCATGTGGGAGAACCGCCCAGGCTGCAGCAGCAGGAGCAATCGCAGTGACAGCTGCTCATCAAGCCACGCGCTTGGAGGATTGCAGAGGGTGGATTCCAAGCTACTGTTTCAGCAATACACGAAGGTGGAATTCGGACAATTGCCCTACTAGCTCGCCTTCCAAAACTAAAAACCCCGTCGGCACTTCAATCAAGGGGGGCTGGTCGAACTGGACAAGCGGATACCAGTCCCAACTCCCTCCCGAAAACCATGCAACATGAGCTTGGGGCCAAGAGCATCCCATTTGATCAAGTCACCCAAAAAAAGCACAGGTGCAACAAGCAGGCCTTATCAAATTGTAGGTTGACATGTACAAGTCGTGTTTTTGTCGTGCAACCTTTCCATTTTCAGAGTCGGACTCAATTGATTCATTGGGGCCTGGGGCACGAGCTAAGCGTGAAGCTTCTACAAGCTTTGAGGAACCACGTGGCCTTATGATGGGTTGGAGATTCCCGCCCCAGTTTGTGTATTTTGGGTTTGCTGCTGAGCACACTGCAAAATATGTCCATGTTACAATTTCCCCGCGCTTAATAGAATACCCCCCCCCCACCATAGGGCTTCCTGCTGTCAAGGTCGACGACGCTCTGGAAAATCGGATTTGAGGGGTACCCTGAACCACATTGAGGCCCTGTGATTGGTATGGTCCTCTCCAGCCCTCTGTGGCTCATTCCCGTGTGGCCGATTGTCCGGAGGGGGACGCCCTTTATGAGCGTAGGCAAGCCTTATTTCTTCATGAAAAATCTGGCTTGCTCAAGTTCAATGTCTGGAAAGGCAATCCTCAGAACTAAGACAGCGCGCAGCATTGGCAAAAGTATTGGCAATAGCTTTTGTCTACACATTTGCGTGTTTCATGTTTCGGCTTGGGGCAGAACATTTTTTGGGCCCAAGCCTTGCGGGCGCGGGATACGGGACATTGATCGAGGTCAGCAAGCTCCAGACAATTCCACGCTGCGGCTTACTGCACCTTCCTTTCAGCTCACCAGTGCCAGGCTCAGCAACAGAATGTGTGCTCGCTTTGGCTCAAAAGTTCAGCTCGGGGATGTTGCTGCAAGATCACCGCTTTGCATAAGCTTTGGTCCTGCCTGACCCTTATCGAATCCGGGATCCAAGCTCTCAGGCAAAGCCTGCATATTTGCATCCATCGGTTGGCTGCTTCAGCACTGGAACTTTGCCTACAAGCGTGTTCAATGCTGCCCTATGCACCCCGGCCAGCCTTCCACAAGTCTGAGCCGCGTCTGGAGAAAGGGTTCTTTTGTGGCCAAAAGATGATGCGTTGGACTGGCATATGCGGCATATCTTTTTTCAACCGAGGCATTCAGCACTGGCAGTTGCAAAGGCCTTGCTCAAGTCTCATGCGAAGGAGCTCAGAGAGAGATTTTGGTCCCGAGAGACTTGCTGGTTCGATACGCAGGGATTGAGAAACGGAATGCCTCCGAGAAAAAAGCAAAAACAAAAACTCCATCAAATTTGGTTTCCTATTCGAGAGTCCAACGATTCATTCAACACCCGGACTTGGTCATTCCCTATCTGCACCAGCAAGCAACAATCCCAAAGAACCGCACGCGAACCGAACCGAACTCTGAGGAGCGCTGCAATCCGCTCTGGAGCTGCTTTATGGGCTGGCAGTGCGTCTTCTGCACTGCCATGAACCACGAGACAGCCAAATGCTGCGATCTTTGTGGAACCTGCAGGCGAATATCATTGTGTTGTTGTTTGTTTGTTTGTTTGTTTGTTTGTTTGTTT